CACGGAACTGAGGTTGGGGCTCACGGGAGGCCGTTTTCAGGGTTCACTGGCCACTCAGTGTGGATGGAAACCATATGTAGCTGGGTCGAGGCACACCCTACTCCCTGGCTGGTCCCAAAGCAGCAGCTCAGGCCGTGATCGTGCGACACGCCAGCTCAGCGGTGGCTGCACACCTTGCAGGTGCCCAGGACTTGGTCCTGCCCTGCTTTTATGGTCCTACCCGGCTTTTAAGGCACAAGGAGTCCTTCGTGGGGGGTCAGCAGCTTCCTCCTCTTCACTTGGTACATGAACCCTTGGGGCACCTTAATTCCAGTGATTTCTGATACGATTTAACAGAGTATGACTGAGTGGTCATTTTTAGGTTTCTGAGACATCGACTTTTCCTTGTTTTTGAGCTTTGTGTGGATGTTTAGAGCCAGAAGAGACCTTGGAAATCAGAGGTCATGGAGAATGTCAGACATGAAAGGAACTTCATTTAGATCGCTGTCCCCAGTGCCGTCCCGCCTGGGCTTCCCCACATACCTACTGAACCAGACTTTGTTGGGGTTCAGCTTAGAGTCTGCTTTTTTTTGCATTTCCTGCGTGCCTGCTAGAGTCTGAGAACCACTGCTTTACAGAACATCTGAGCCTCCCCTTCATTTCACAGCTGAGAAAACTGACATCCAGGGAGATGTGAGCTGCTTACACAGCACACATACTGAGGGGCAGATCCAGCTCTGGGACCAAATACAGTCTCTTTCCAAGTCTCCTACCAGTCCCCTTAGCACCCACATTGTTACTAAAATTCAGTAGTGAAAGTAGATATGCTTTTAAGCAAACAAGACTTGTGTTAGCCACAGGCTCACCCAAGCCCAGAATCTGACCCCAGGCTTGTCTAATAATAATAACTTGTACTTGATAGGGCAGATTTTGGCTCATCTGAGGAGGTCTTTCCTGCTTTTTAATCCCAGCTTTCTCATGGAGTTGTTTGGGGCCTGCAGAGGATTTTAATGCAGTGTACAAAGGAGAAGAATTTACCAGTGCATCTTACAAATTAATGCAGTGAGATAAGCAGTGAAAGTCAGGCTCTTACTTCCTAATTGGATTTTGTGTGGCTGTGTTCCTGATGTCTCTGCCCAAAGATAAGGATACTGAGCTGAGCTGACTGGAAAATCACCCCTGTAATGCCATCCCTGCTCCTGGAGAAGCCAAGGCCGGCGGCGATGAGGAGGCGAGACCCAGCCTCATCTGCTGGGTCACTGTGACAGTGCCCCGTCCCCATCATGGTGTCACACAGAAATGCAACCCCCAGGGCGCAGGTTCCCCAGGCCCCAGTGAAGTCCGGGTGGGGCAGGTAGTGAGTCTTCTACAAAAGATGCTGGTTGGTGTAACCAGTAGGCTCTTTCTGGACATGAACTTGAACTTGAGAACACTTCTTATGGGACTGAAGAGACATGTTCTAGTCATACTCTAGGGGAATTATAAATATTAAACATGTTTAACTTCTTTCTTTTAAAAAATTACATCTTTTTTCACTAGGCTATGATGAAAACACCACAGAAGACAGAAAGGGCAGTGTCATTCTCCTGGGTGGCACTTTTTGGTTAGTGTAGATGGAAGCATTTGCTCTTGACAGGGCTCTGATGAGAGCAGAGTAGAAGCATGAGCAGTGGCATGGGCATCCGGTACGGGTGGGCGTTTCATTTCCAGTTTAAATTATTCATTCATGTAGAAGTGTTTAGTCTTCCATTCTGTGGAAGTGATGTGGTTCTTTAAATTACCTAAAGTCATGTTTTCTAAACAAAGTCCTCACCAGAGTGGCCGAGGCGCCTGCCTTCCTTGAAAGGCGATGCTCACGAAGAGATGTGTGCGTTTTTTATTAAACGGGCATAAATGGGTCATTATTTCACACTGAACCAGGAGTGCAAATCTCGGGACTGTAGGAAAACAGCCTCCAGGCCACTTGTGACCACCCTGCTTTCCAGCTTGGGCCCTGACAGCACTGTTTTCGTGGACCAGGGGCAGAGCTGCAGCCTGGGCCGTGGCCCTTTCCCTTCACTCCCCCTCCTGTCCTGCCAGCCCCCAGCCTTTCCCTTCCTTCTCCTCCTCCTCTCCATGCCCTCGGCCCCTGCTCTGCCCTCACATCCTTACTCTCATCCCTGACTTCTCTCATTCCTAATGTGTCCTAGTTTCTGCTTTTAGTTCCTCCCATCTTGCTGAGGTCCTCCTGTAGACATGGGGCCCTCTGGCCTCCTCTGGCCTCCAGCCTTATCTTCTTCAGCTCAGCACTTAACCTTCAAGTGTCGCAGCCTTTCCCACTGCTGCTCTGACACCCCCACCCCTGCCTACAGTGGCCACACGCTTGCCTCCAGTGACCCCAGCGTGGTACTGCTCCCGAGACCCAGGTCAGATACTGGCTCCAGGAAGCAGTCCTGCTGACACAGTCCCTTGGGCAGGAGGGATTGTCCTTCCTCCCTCTTTCCCTTTTTCCTTCCTTTTTCTTCCCTTTTTTCTTTCAACTAAGTTACAAAATAAATTCAGTGAGATTCGTTAAGTGTACAGCTCCTGGCAGGCCGGCTCCAGTACCTTTTGAATCCAGGGGCTTTTCCCAGGAGGAGCCAAGCCCCAGCCAGGCCTGTCTAAGGTTTCCAGCCCTGGAAGGGTCTGAGGTGGGGGCACAGCTAACAACCAGCTGTGTGGGGATGGTGGAGTTGGCAGCCCTCATCTGTTCGGTCCAGATAGTATGGGTGGAACGTGGCTGAGGATGGGCAGGGTGGGGGTTCCAGAGAAGTGTACAGCGTGAGAGACTTGTACGTGGGTGTACACCCGTTTCCCACCACCACCCAGAAAAAGATAGAGAACGTTTCCATCCTCAGAAGTTTCTTTCAGGACCCTCCCGAGGCAATCCCATTTCCTCCAGCTGCAACCACCATTCTGACTCCAGTCACCACCAGTTAACTTTGTCCTTCAGATTTGATTCCTTGGACATTTCGGGGTCTGCATAGCATAATCACGTGCCTGTGCTGGGAGGGAATTCACACATGTTTCTGCCTCTGGGCATCCCTCTTGTGCTCTCATAAAACGTCATGACAGTCCTGTGAGGGCGTGTTACTAGCTCCATTTTCTAGAAAAGGGGATTAAGGCTCACAGAGGCTAAGAGAATCACTCCAGATCAAAGAGCTGTCACTTGCAGAGGTGAGAATGAACTTGCATCCCGTCTAGGAAAGCCACACCCTGTAGAACAGCCCATGCGGTGCCCCATCTGCAGGGCCCACTGTGCTTTCCAGGGAGTTTTGCTTCCGGTCTGTGTCATGTAGCTTTAAACTGCCTGGTAAGCCCCTACTTGGCAGGGGTCATGCCTTGCTGGTCTGGTGATCCCACGGTACCCCACAGCTCGGTAGCAGGACGTTCACCAGGCGCTGGTCAGCGGATAAGGGCTGCTAACTGCCCAGCTCCATGGACCGTGCGGATGGAGCGAGGCTTCTGTGTGAGCCTGGGAGGAAGCCAGAGAGACGACGTCCCAGCACTTGTCCGGGCCCCCGCTCCGGGCTGCAGGGAAGGGTGCCCCAGCGAGTGGAGGAACTGCCCAGGCGGCCTGTTATGAGTCAGCACTGAGCAGCACGAGTTTCTTCAGTGCCTCTTGCTGCCTCCCTTTGGCGCCTGTCTCGTGGCAGGAATTGGTTTTGAATGTGAGGCCTGGACCCACTCCCTGCTCTTGGGTGACCTGAGAGTTAAGCAGGCAAAAATAATGCCCCCGCCCTGAGCACGTGGGCATTCTAATCTGAGAGTGCCTGTCTGCTGGTGTCCCCAAGGACACGGCAACACCCTTGCCTCTCCTGTGTGCTGGAGGCCCTCTGGGGCAGGAGGGAAGCAGTTCATGGATCTGAAAGGGCTGCATTCCAGGGGCAGCCTTGGGCTTTGCCTCCTTGTGACCAGTTTTGCCCCAGTGGGAATTATACCCTGAAGCTCCCAGAGCCTTGGCCTTTGGTGTTTGTTCAGAGAGATGCCTCCGTAAGGGAGGATCAAGCTCCTTCTTAATAGTTCATCCACTTAAATGTGTGTAAGTGGCACAAATCCTCCACCCTCTCCTCTGTAAAAGGACCCTCTAGTGCCCGGGAGCCAGACAGGACCACAAGCCATAGGGGTCCCTGGCTTCATTGCCCGGCCTCTGCTTGGTGAGAAATGACATTGCCCGCTGAGTGACTGGCCAGCCTTGTTGTCTGAAACAAGATCTTTCTCTGTGGTACATCTGGAACTTGGCCTTCTCAAGGGTCCCAAAATAGCCAGGCCGCTGAAGGGAGAACTTCATGACAGGACAGAAGAGAGACCCCAGCCGCTCCCCGCCAGGCAGGCTTTGTTGGCATCACAGGACCAGCACAACTAATCCCTGGTTTTTGTTCTCATCCAGTGCTGCTTCTGCATTCCTTGTGTATCTCCCTTCTTGCAGCTTGTTCTGAAAATATTCCTGAGGAGGCAGCCTCACCCTGGCCCCCCTTCCCGCCCCTCTGCTGCAGATTTCCAAGCTGTGGCCTGTCTGGGTCCAGCACAACTCTGTATCTTTGGGAAACACGAGGACCTCTTAGGAAGTGGTGAAGCTGGCCATAATTTAGCAAGTTGGAGTTGAACCTCCTCGCCTGGGTCTCTGAAGATCTTGGGGATAGTCAGTGACTCTCCTACATGCACTGCTGCCTTGTCACCCAGGAAAGAAATCTGTCTTACCAGCTCGGGAAATTGGGACCTCTTGTGCTTCAGCAGACACTTTGACTCACGTGCTTTCTCTTGATGTCCCTGGTTCTTAGGCTGCTGGGCAGACAGCAGCTTCAGGAGTGGAGGGGAGCATCTGGAGGAAGTGAGGGTCAGGGATGGTACCCACGCTGTCTGTGCTCAGCTGTCCTGGCGGACGCTGTGGGCCCCATGGTCACTCCGGAAGACCAGAGCGCTCAGCCCCGTGCTTTCTCCTTTTCAGGGCTGTTTCCTTCCCAGTTGCTAACGGGTCTGTGTTTCTTCTCTTTTTGTGTTAGGAAACCTCATCCTCTGCAAACGGGCCTTCGCGGGAGGGCTCCAGGCCGCTGGCCACCAGGGAAGGGCGTGCTGTGTACCCCCAGCTCCGGCCGGGCTACATTCCCATCCCCGTCCTCCACGAAGGCGCCGAGAGCCGGCAGCCGCACCCTGTCTTTGCCTACCCCCAGCCCGGGGCACAGCGGTTCCAAACCGAGGCGGCCGTGGCGGCCCCGCAGAGGTCCCAGTCCCCTCTGCGGGGTGTGGTGGAGGCCACCCAGCCAGATAAGCAGTGTGGACCGGCAGTGGCAGGCGCAACAGCCCCGCCGCCAGCCCCGCATGGACCTGAGGTAAGGAGAGGCCTGACTCGTGGGCCTTTGGGGTGCGACCTGGGGGTGCCAGTGATCCTGCTTCCCTGCCTGCCCAGATGCTGACACGGTGCCCCAGGGAAGCACCTGGTGAGATCAGGGCGGCTGGGCCTGGTGTGCGGCATCAGAGGTCACCCAGCAAAAGTCGCTTGACAGCGTTTCACAGGTTGGTTTTTCAAGTGGGCAGGGATCGAGGCTTATTTTTGTAGTTAAGGAATGGGGCCTCAGGAGGGTAAATAGCTTGGTTCAAATCATCAAGTTGGAAGTGGCATCACAGGAACTGGAACCCTGGCTTTCTGGCTCCTAATTTGATGTCTCTTACTCCCAGCGGGCTTTCTGTATCAGAAACATAGAGATCCCCTGTGTTATTTCATTCAGTCCAGTATTTACAGGTAAGTATCAACTACTTAGAGCTGTGTTGACATGAAAATGAGACAGCATACCTGCCCTCACAGTGTCCCACAGTTTAAAAGGAAACCCGGAATGAGAATTCAGGAAGGCAGCTGCTTTACGACAGGGTTTGGAGCCTGAAGTCAACACTTCCGTGCAGTGATATCTAGAGAGTTGTTCCTAATCCAGATCTTAGCTGAGATTTGAGGGCCAGTGGAGCCCCAGTAGGATTCCTGAGCCATAAGCCCCCTTGATTTTCCTGTCTGCAGACCATCCCGTCTGTGTCCCCTGGATCTGCTCTTGAGCACAAATACTCGTTCCCTGGGTGCATCCAGAGCTGGGATCTGTCTGGCTTCACTGCCTGCTCAGGAGTGAAAAATCACAGTTAATGTGGGGCACCAGGTGGCTCTTTCCTTTTCTCGAAGAAGCAGTTCCTATATTTGTTGTAAAGATCAAAAGTGACACATCAATCAGAGAAATCTTAACATATTTGAACCAGCAGGACCCTTAGAAGCCAGCTGGGGAAACACCCTCCCAGTTCTCCAGAATGGAAGGCAGGTGGTCTGGGAGTGAAAGCGGCCTGGCCTGCCCGGTCCACACAGGGGACGCATTCCCACGGCCTGCCTGACTCGTCTGTAGATCAGCCGGAGGAGGGTTTAAGGAAAGAGGAAGTGAAGTGACAACAACAAATGAAACATAGTGAGCGCTTCCTGGCACTTGTGCAAGGGCACATAACACAGATCACTGAAGCCAGCCCAGTGAGGGAAGTACTCTTTTCTGTATTTTAAATGCAGCTCCTGAAGCTATTGCGCTGTTAAGAATTTGAGCCCCGGCCTCTTGATTCCTGAGCTCCCAGTCTTAACACTACATTTTGAAAATGGAAAGACTCACAGATGGGAGGTCATATTAAACCTGCTGCCCTGAGCAGGCACGTAATGGGAGCAGAGTCAGAGGGTCAGGCAGAGGGTCGTTCATGGGCCGTGTGTCTACCCTTCATGTCTTGCAGCGATCCCAGTCTCCAGCTACCTCGGACTCCTCGTCCTCGTCCTCCTCCGGCAGGAGCAGCCTGGGCAGTCACCAGCTCCCCCGGGGCTACATCCCCATCCCTGTGATACACGAGCAGAATGTCACCCGGCCAGCAACCCAGCCCTCCTTCCACCAAGCCCAGAAGACCCACTACCCAGCTCAGCAGTCTGAATACCAGACCCACCAGCCTGTGTACCACAAGATCCAGGGGGATGACTGGGAGCCCCGGACCACGTGGACAGCATCCCCATTCCGGTCACCCGTCCGGGGTGCGTCCAGCAGGGAGGGCTCTCCAGCCAGAAGCAGCACGCCGGTGCATGCCCCATCGCCCCTCC